GCACCGCACGCCCGTTAGCTGCCACGTCAGGCCACATTTATGGTGAAGCGACATTCAGTGTGCTTGATGTAACGTGCTTCAGGAGAGGAAGGGTCACCGTTTTGGCGGGATTTGGTCTATAAGTTGCGTTCAGTCGGCCTCCTACACGTCTCCTTACTTGCGTTCGCTCAGTTGCTCCTTCAGGCCTTACTGCTTCATCCGAATTGGCTGCCTTGCTTCTTGTCCCTAAGGTCAGTAAGGATGGCTTCCCCTCCTCTTTCGCCTTCCCCCTCCGGTAATGTCGGAGAGAGGACATTGCCGCCGAGCCCCCACTCGTCATCCGATGAAAAGGCGACTCGGGCTCTGGAATCCTTAATGTGGCCGCACGACCTTGATTCAATCGTGAGCGAGTCATCGCTCAGCTACCTCCAGGGCCGTTATGGTATCCCGGAGGAGTTTACGCTTATTGCCTCCGAGCCAGGGCAATGGGCGTACGACCCTATCCCGAAGGGTTTTGCCTTAACCTTAGATGCCTTTGAGGCTGGGTTGTGCCTCCCACTGCATCCCGTCATTACTTCTTGTATTTCTTGGTGGCATATTCCCCATCACAGATGGAACCAAGCTCCTGACGCTACCTGGTGGCGTTCTTAGGGGAGTGCCACTACGCCAATATCGTCCCGACCCGGTCCCTCTTCCTTTCCTGCTTCCACCTTTCCAAGGGGTCGAGGGGTTACTACCTGTCTACTCGACCGGGTTTCCGGGTTAGCGGGGCTCCTTCCAGTAATAAGGGATGGAAGGGGTGTTTCTTTTGTGTCTATTGTCTGGGGGACTAGGGCTTTGGGCTCCGAAGCGCGACGCGCGCGATCGACAACATCGCCTCGGCCCTGAACGACGAGGAGCGCAGGGAGCCATCCGGAAGATGTGCCCTTTCCTCGATTGGGGAGTACCAGCACGAGCGCCAGGGCCAGTCTCTCGATTGGGGAGTACCGTTCCTTAGGTTCGTTGAGGACATGGCTGAGGTAGTAGACCGGCAGTTGCTCACCGGAGACTTCTTTGGTTAGGACGGAGCTGACCGCGTGCCGAGAGGCAGCCATATAGATATTGAGCTTTTCCCCGAGAGAGATCGAAGCCAAGCGAGGGAGGTTGGCCAGGTGTTGTTTTACTTGTTCAAAAGCTTCTTCACACTGCTCCGTCCATTGGAAGTTCTTTGGGTTCCTTAGCACCCGGAAGAAGGGGAGGCAACGATCACCGGATCGGGGGTCGGGGGGGGGTCGTTCTTCATTGGGCGCGTCACCGCGTCATGCTGCCGGGCCGAGGGTTGGTTCAAAAGAGGTGTCGGTGGTGCTTGAGGCAAACCGTCCTCGGAAGAAAGCTAAGACCGTCAGCCAGAGGACTCTAGATCTGTCGGTCGCTCGACCGGGTGAGGTTGCTATTGAACCGGGCGCGCGCGATCGGCGACGGGACTTCGATCAGGGCGAGGCCGGCCCAAGCAACGAGGAGACTGGGAAGGCGCCACGGGCACCTTCCATCCGTGACCTATGTCGCCTCCCTTCGGGGGCGTGGGATGAGCCTTACCAGGCTTGCGTGATGGGCGAGCTTTCGGAGGGCAAACCCTCCGACCCGCTGGTGCATAATCCTATTTGTTTTCTTAGTAAGGAAGCTGACCGCGTGCCGAGAGGCAGCCAGATAGATATTGAGCTTTTCCCCGAGAGAGATCGAAGCCAAGCGAGGGAGGTTGGCCAGGTGTTGTTTTACTTGTTCAAAAGCTTCTTCACACTGCTCCGTCCATTGGAAGTTCTTTGGGTTCCTTAGCACCCGGAAGAAGGGGAGGCAACAATCACCGGATCGGGAAAGGAATCGGGATAGGGCAACGAGCCTCCCGTTCAGCCGCTGCAAGTCCTTGATTGTTCGAGGTGTTTGCATACCAATGATCGCCTGGACCTTCTGCAGGTTGACATCAATTCCTCTTTCGTGGACGATGAATCCGAGGAACTTTCCCGAGCTAACACCGAAAACGCATTTGGCCGGGTTGAGTCGCAGACCATATTTCCGTAGTGTGGCGAACGTCTCAGCCAAGTTGGTTAGGTGGTCCGCCGCCGCACGGCTCTTCAAGATCATGTCGTCGACGTAGACTTCCATGTTCCATCCGATCTGTTGGGCGAACATCTTGTTCACGGCTCTCTGGGAGGTGGCACTCGCGTTTTTTAGTCCGAACGACATAACTTTATAGAAATATACTCCTAGATCAGTGACAAAGGCTGTATGCTCTTGATCCTCGGGCGCCATTCTGATCTGGTTGTAGACGGAGAAGGCGTCCATGAACGAGAGGCGGGGATGCCCGGCAGTTGCGTCGACTAGCTGGTCGATCCTCAGGAGGGGATAGCAGTCCTTTGGGCATGCACGATTGAGACTGGTGTAGTCAACACACATCTTCCAGCTCCCATTAGATTTCTTCACCAGAACTACATTAGACAACCACCGCGGGTACTTGGCTTCCTCTATAAAGCCTGCTGCCAAGAGCCGCTCCACCTCTTCGCGGATAGCCAGTAACCTGTCGGGAGCATGTTGCCGGGGCTTCTGCTTCATCGGTCGAGAGTCAGGTGAGATGTTCAGGTAGTGTTGGGCAGTCTTCGGGTTGACGCCCGTCATGTTGGAGGGCAACCAGGCGAAGACGTCGGTGTTATCCTGAAGGAAGCCAATGAGCTGCTCCCGCTCTTGCTTGGGGAGTGCCAACCCGATCTTGATCGTCCGATCCGGGCAATCCTTCATTAATGTGACATCGCCAGTGGGCGCCATCGGCTCACGATGTGGATTCGGCTTCTTCATTTCCTTGGGGTCTCCCAGGGGCTGCTCAGTCCTCACCCTTTTATGCAGCAAGATTGCCGTCAAGTAACATTGCCTGGACTCATGGGGGCTTCCCCAAACTTCCCCAGCCCCAGCGTGGGTTGGGAATTTCACCGTTCGATGATAAGTGGAAACGACGGCCCTGAATTTGTTGAGGGTTGGGCAGCCGAGGATGGCGTTGTATGCGGTGGGGAGGTCTACCACTAGGAAGGTGGACATCACCGTCTTCGATCTTGGTGGAGTCCCTATGGTAAGGGGCAAAGCGACTGCTCCTAGTGGTGAAATCGAATCGCCAGTGAAGCCAGTGAGCGCCGAGCGCATTGACGCCAGGGCTTCTCTAGCTAACTTAAGCTTATGGAAGGCATCAAAGTAGAGCACGTCGGCCGAGCTCCCCATGTCAATCATGATCCTTCTTACTTGTGTATTGGCGATCCTTACCGATATTATGAGCGCGTCGTCGTGCTCGGATCGCTCGAGCACCTCGATCGGAAACGTAACTTCAGGCTCGGGCCCGTGTCTGGGAGCTTCGACGGTGGTGGCTCGGGCGTATGCCTTTCTTCCGGACATGGTATTCCCTCCGAATGCAGGGCCGCCTGTTATCACGTTGATGTGTCGCTTGGCTGGACCCTCTCGGCGTGGCGAAAGTTCCTTGTCCTGCCGAAGATACCGGCTGAGGTGCCCTCTACGAATGAGCTCTTCGATCTGCCTCTTTAGTTCACGACACTCCTCGGTGTCATGCCCAGTCTGCCGGTGGAAGCGACAGTACTTCGATCGGTCTGCGAGCTCCCACGGATTCCTCATCGGGTTGGGGTTTTTGAGCAACCCCTTCTCCTTTATCTGGAGAAATATCTCTGTTCAGGACGTGCCCAAGGAGGGCAACGGGGTTCTCAACGCCGGCGGGTCAGGTCGGTCCAGTCTTCGCCTCGGCGTGGCGGACTGTTGTCCTCGAGCTGGCTCCGGCCTGACCCTCTTATGCTCTTCCCGCGTCCCAGCCATCCAAGCCTCGGCCGCGATGAACTAGTTCGCCCGTTGAAGTATCTCAGGCACAGCGGCGAGGGGTCGCTCCACGAGGGACCAAAAGAACCGGGAAGGTCACAGGCCTACCATAAGCGCCTACATTAACAGAGAGGGACGAGCATCCGCTAACCCCCAGATTTGTGTTGCAAAACGTTTCACAAAATGGTAGAGGGGCTCGTCCTCCCTCTAGTTGAGCCCGAGGAGTAATGCCACGGAAGGTTTCGATCAGGCGTAGGCCAAGAAGTTAAGTTCGAAGTCTTTGACGAGCTGGTCAAAGGAGGCGATCGTGCCGGTCTTCAGGCCGTTGTACCACGTGCGGGCCGGCCCTCGCAGGGTGGTGGGAAACGCCCTGCACATCAAATCATCATAAGTTCTGTACAGCGCCATCTGCGCGTGGAAAGCGGCTACATGGTCCGTTGGGTCGGTGGAGCCATCATATGCATCCAAAGAGGGGAGTCGAAAATTCGGGGGGACCGTCTGATCCTATATCTTGGGTGCGAACGGGGATCCCTGGTGTGTGTCCTCCCTGAACTCTCCCCTTGACCTACGCACCTCCTTCCGTACCTCGTCGAGCCGTTGACTGACGAAGCACAACTGGGCTCGCAGAGAGTCCGTCGAATCTTAAGATAACGTCTCGGGTTCCGAGGGGCCTCTCGGGTTAGCCGTCCCTCGATCCCCTAGCGGGGTCGGTCGAACCCGAGGCGAAGTTGGGGGCTCCCGAGGTGGTGTGCGGGCCTGGACGGGCGGCTCCTGTTGCCGCAAGGGTTGGACCGCCGGCGGATGCGGCGGGCGAGAAACGAGTGGGGTAATGGATTGCACCATACCGGTTAGAGTTCGCACTTGATGGGTGAGGTCCTAAAAGGCCTCGGATGACACGGGCGACGAGTCGGCAGGGGCACCGTCGGGTAGTGACAAGCCCGGGTTGTTGAACAACCGCTAATAGTGCTCTGACGTGGTGATGGGGCGTTCATCTCGAGGCTCTTTAAGCATGAGGTGTTCTCTCGAAGCCCCGATTGGGTGTGACCCCTCAGCTGCGGGTTCGTCTGAGTCGATCGATCGATCCCGCGACATTTGAGCCCTCCTTCTAGCGCCAAAATGTTAGTGTAAATAATCTTAAGTCGTGGCCTTGTGGCCGACGCGGCTTGGTTCAGGTCCGGATGATGGGGGATCTTCCTGAGACGACCCTTGGGACTACTGAGGAGGTCGACTGCGGGGGTCCGATTGGGACGGGGTCACCGCTCCCTCCAGGAGTGAGCTCCTCACCTGGGCATTCGGGGAAGGTGCTCCGCCCTCGTACTTGCACACAGGTCGAGTTGGAAGAGCTCGGCCCAACCCCTTCGACGATCAAGTCAGTGGCCGATCGTAGGGGGTTTTTCTCCTCCCTTTTTTCTTGGAGCGCGAGGGTCTTTATAGTGATGGTTACCATTGCCTGATGTGCCCACTTGCAGGGAGCAGGATCGTGCTCCTGCTAGCGTCTGACATCGTCGTTGACGTAGCGTCTAGAACCGAGCCTGAGCAAGATGTTAATGAGCCTTAGTCGGCATTCCGGTCCGTGTTGACCAGGTGCTATCAGGTTAACAAAGGCGTGAGGCATCATCTGAGGCAGGTGACGTCAGCCCGAGTCTTATCGCCATTATTACCCTCATCACTAGTAGATGATAACATCATGTCGTATCACTCTGCTTATGCTTTTCGCCTGGTGATCAGAGTTTGATGTATAAATCATCATCTCGTCTTTTGGCAGACTTCGTAAGCATCGACTGCGGCATAACCGGCAATACTAACTACACCCACGGTGAGACCGACATACTCTACGTATCCGATGACCAGTTCACGGACACGGGGATCAATCACCAAGTCGCCTCAAACGACGTGTCTTCCTCGCTCGACGAACTACTATTGACGGTGCGAAGCTTTCCCAATGCTTCCCGAAGTTGCTACGTCTTGAAGCCAGTGATTCAGTACCGGAAGTACATCATGAGGGCGACCTTCATGTACGGGAACTACGACGGCCTGAACCGTGCGAACGTCGTCAAGCCGCTGCTGTTCGATCTGTACATGGATGTCAATTTTTGGCAGACGGTCAACGTCAGCGATCCGAAAAGCATTTACGAGGTCGAGGCCATGGCCGTTGCTTTGGCGGATTCTGTGTCGGTGTGCTTGGTGGATACGGGCTCGGGAACTCCCTTCATATCTGCACCGGAGCTGAGGCCGCTTGTGGATGCCATGTATCCTTCTGCAAACACCTCGCAGAGTCTGGTTCTTAACAATCGCCTTAACGTCGGACCTTCGAGAAATAGCTCAGCGTTGAGGTAAGGAATCTTACAGAATCTTCATGGTTGACTTCTTTTGACGTTATTTTCGTTTTCTTTTCGTGCTTTGGTTGATGAACAGATATCCCGATGACCCCTACGATCGCATATGGCGGCCATGGACGAGGCCGGACGCGTGGATGGAGATATCAACCACCGAAACGATCAGCAACAGCGCGAAGAATCTGTTCCAGCCGCCGACGACCGTCATGCAGACCGCGGCCACACCCTCGGGGAACAGCTTGAAGATGGAGTTCTACTGGACCTTCGCGGATGCACAGGTCCCAAACAACGAGTTCTATGTCAACTTGTTCTTCACCGAGTTCGAGCGCAACACCTCGAGACTGTTCAACGTGTATCTGAACGACGAACTGCTGACAAATTACACACCGCCCTACGGGTCGGTGGGCTATTTGTTCAGCTCCCGCCCCCTGGATCCGGCGTCCGAGTACCACTGGGCCCTCAACTCCATGGGCCTGTCCACCCTGCCCCCCATCCTTAACGCCATCGAGGTTTTCACGGCGATGCATCTCACGCTGGCAGCCACCGCCTCCGGAGACGGTACGTTCTTCCCTTCTTGGATGAGAAATTGCGTTGCATGCACATATCTCGTAAGTGTTCCCTGTGGCGCATTGCACGAAAGGTGGTTGGTTGGGCTGCCTCCCTCTGCCTCGCCCCGCTGACATGGACTTAGCTGGTTTTGCCTAAGTCGTGCGGCACCCTTGCGTGTCCGTCCGCAAAGGTCAGCCTCCCCGAAGCCTCCCCTTGTCCCTTAGGACCATCAAAAGAGAGAACGGGTTGGAGAGAACGCCTCAATCGGGATCCACAAGCAAACATGTCCGAAAAACACTTCATAGACAATGCAAATTACAAACAGACTTTACAAGCTCTGAACAGTGGCACAACAAAGGGTAAAATGGTCCATTACAGACCGAAAAGCTCTCGCACGTGTCCACATGACACAACCTTTATTTACAAGCCTAAAGAGGCCACCACCCAACTAAAATGGGACTTATAAGCCTTCGGCCGCCCCTCTACATGCTGTACAAGGCATGAACATGCCAACAGACACGGAAATATATAAGCATTACATCAAACATCCTGTTTCAAAGTTTGTCCATGACATTCTCCCCCACTTATCCCTTCGACGTCCTCGTCGAAGCCTTTGTGAACACTACAACTCTTCGCCTTTGCTGAGTCTTCAATCTTCTGCTCCAGTTGCAATGCGCCTCCTGGCTCCCAGCTGCTCTCCTCTACTGTTTTTGAGTAGTCGAACTTTGATCCGCCATGCTGCTTCAACTCACCAATGACTCTGACTCTGGTGTGGGGTTGACTGAGTTGTGTTGATCCTCGTTGATTCCTGCGGATCCACCAAATGAAGGAAAAGACCATCCTTACTGCGCCAGTCTCTCAAAATTTCTGCATACTGCTTGAACTGGGTGGATGCTTGTTGGAGCTTTAACGAGCATCGCCTCGCAAACTTCTGAAGTTTTGGGTCCTTCCTCCACAAAATCTGCTCATTGACTCTTCTTTCAATTAGTTGTCACATCCAAGTAGGTTCGCATCACTTCCGCTTTCGATTGGTATTTCGTTGGGAAATGAGGCGGACAATCTACTCTCAGTAGCACTGATCACCGTTGGTGAGGATTTGACAACTATTGTCTTCCATTATCTTCGAAGGGTCTTTGAACTTGTGCAAAGCTCCTCTGCTGGATAGATAAGAGAATTGGGGTACTCGGTTTCGCCCATCCTCTTAAGAGTTGAGAAGGCAAAGGTTACTTGACTTCGCCCGCCTCCTCGAGGTTGTACTTCACGCATCGAGCTGGTTACTGGCCTTCGCCTGCTCTTTGCTCACACTTCTGAAGCACTTGAAGTGTTTGCACTCCTTGCGTTGAGTTAGCTACTATGATTCACCTTCTCAATGCCATTGAAC